ATGTGGTCTCAGGTAAAGTCTAACCCAGGTAAGTGATGTAGTGTCAGGTAAAGTCTAACCCAGGTAAGTGATGTGGTCTCAGGCACAGTTTAACAGGGGGAAGACTCTGGAAAACAACTTGCACTGAGGCAAGGGGGCCAGGCTTTTGGACCCCTGTATCAGTCATTGGCTGTGAGCTGCTCCCTCCTCCCTGGGGAGAAAGAGGGTCATAACTTCCCAGCAGGGTAGCTCTTGTCAGTCAAGGGCAAGGGGAGGACAAGGGGAGCAGCTGTGATGTGTTCTCCGCCAGTACTCTCTGCAGCTGGAGGTGAGTGTGCAGCTGCTAATGGGGATCTGGGCAGGGCACCACAGCATCTACAGAGGGCTAGCCAAAGTTCTTCTTTTAAAAATATGTATGGAAGAATTCAGATGATAAAAGAAAAAGGTAAAGAATAAGATTAAATGATGGTAGGAGGGAGTTTTGTTGGACTTTGTTTTTAGACTCGAACAGAAGCACGGCCCTAGAGTCAGAAGGGAGTTAGTGAAACAAAGAATTGTGACCTCCAGTGAGTGTCAGAGATGTCGGCAGTGACAGCTGTGGTGGTGTCCCCGGTCTGATGTGGTGAGGGTCAGCAGTGCACCTGCAGCATCTGGTGCTCAGTGGCAGGGGCAGTGGTGTCCTTACTGGACCCATTCTGCAGTGGACTGGGTCTTTGTTTCTGTTTGTGTCTCCTCCAGGTCTGATTTTCCAGTCCTTCTGACAATTCTGAGGTACCTAATATCTTTTCAGTGTGTTTATTTTCCACTCTAAATTACTAGAATTTGTTTTTGTTGCTATGACTAAGATCTCTGATGTATCCCTCAGGGCCTTTGCTGCACAACCCGCAACCCAACTCCCCTAGCCTCACTGATTACTGAGGATATGTAGGCCTGATGGCAGCAGCCTGGTTCCTGACCCCCATTGCCAGGTCACAGCCACAATCCACTGGAGCTCTGAGGACGGGAAGGGGGAATGGGAAATTGAGGGTTCTGCCTCTAGATCAAAGCACTTATGGACTGAGGACATAGGGAGGCTTTGTGGAGCAAGCCTTGGTCTGTCAGGCCTGGCTCCCAGCATGCCCCATGACTGCCCGGATGGAGGTAAACACTGCGAACAGGAATCCTCTGAGGAAGGGCCATGGCTCATAAGGCCTTCCTCATCAAGCTGCTCCTGGAGAGGCATGTCAAGAGCTTAGTGTTGTTCGCCACTGTAGCTCACCACTGCCTAGCCATCTCCTCAGGGACTCATCCTTTTTGTTATACTTCAGACTCTCGTTCCCAGCACTGGCAAGGACTCACCACCTCCGCCATGGTCTCAGCTTATCTTGACCTAGCCCAGCCGCACAATGTTGAAAACCAATGATTTCTTCAGCAGAGGAGGGATTTCTCTCAGAAACTGGCAGCAGTGGAGGTGAGATGACCTCTTTAGAATGAGGCCTCTTTCTCAGTCATCTGCCTGATGACATCCTGCACTGTGGCACCACCTCTGACATCTGTGCCTGAGCCGTCTGGGGATTGTTGCACATTCTCCAACCTCAAATGACCCTGGAAGATGAAGTCTCTGGGTTTCCTCTCTGACCTTCCTTGCTTATGTATCCCTGGCTCATTCCTACCGGTAGTAGATGCCTTCAGCAAGATAGTGCAGTTAATTCCCACAGCTGACCCCCTACCCTCACCAACTAGTGCCAACCCATTTAGCCTCCAAGGATTACTATGGGTTTTATTTTAGACCAGAGTCCCCAGGTGGTGCAAATGGTTCACATGCTCAGCTCCTAACTGAAAGGTTGGAGGTTCAAGTCCACCCAGAGGCATCTCCAAAGAAAGGCCTGGAAGTCTACTTCCAAAAAAATCAGCCACTGAAAACCCTATGGAGCACAGTTCTTTTCTGATACATGTGGGGTCGCCATGAGTTGAAATTGACTTGACGGCAACTGGTTATATCACAGTCACCTCCTCTTTTGGCAGCAACTCTCCAAGCCTTTGTACTATTGCCAACCATCTGTAGTTTGTCAAATGGAAGTTATGAATGAGAAGATAATGTTCCTTGGTTTTAAGCAACAGAAACCAACTTCAGCTAACCAAACACAAGGAGTTTGTTGAAGAGCTATCAGGTATCTCACAGACTAGACAGGAGGCTGGAGATTCAGTCTTTTCTCTCTCTCTCTTTTCCTTTTTACAGGGGAAAGCAGTAGTGCAGTCCCCATTACCACAAACTATTCAGTTGCGTTTCCCGCATGTGGGGAAATCTCAGGGGGCAGCACATCTGCAGTGTGATGGATGAGCCTCGCCCTGGGAAAACCACCTTCATGATCATGATATCTCCCCTCCCCTCCAGGTAAGTATGGAGATCCAGCCTTGAAATGGGACAGGAACCGAGGCCCGTTCAGATATCCAGACAACAGAAACTGGTCAACTATCTTATCTGAGAGTTACTGAGGAGGTGGGTGTGCTCCTTTCTGCTGATGCATCACTCTGTTCAAGATTCACAGTGTCAGGAGTGTCCCTGGAGAGAGTCTGAGTGGCCCAGCCCAGGTCACGTGCCCATCCTTGGCTGTGGGGAAGAAGGCCCCTTGGTTTCTGTCCCACCAAGAGGGCACACAGTGAGAAGGTTAACTCCACAAATAAAACTTGGAGTTTTCCAGTAAAGGGGAAATGGATGTTGGGCAATTAAAAAAAGCAAATGGCCACTGCATATCTATGTTGCTATAAGTTCTATCAACGACATGACTAATCAGCCCACTTCACCACTGCTCCCTGGCACTGCTTCACCCAGCCTGATCCATAACCATATGGCTTTGACCCCAGCTACTGTCAGATCTGGTTCCACTGATCATGGAAGCTGGTCAGTACTTGAGAGCATGATAGGCTGTCCAGAAGAGCCTCCAGGGTGCCCTCTGGAGGCCAATGGCAAGTATAACCTCCTGGAGGACAGGAAGTGAAGAAAGGAATAAATCCAACCAGCCTAAGCCCCAGGGTATGATGTTCAAGTAGGTATCTGGCTCTCCTCCCATTATATATGCAGCACTCATCCACCCTGAAACCTGGAGAAAATACCTGGGACTTCAAGATTCTAGAGTCATCAGTTCAGTGGTCTTCTGACTTTAATGGTCTCTCTCCATGTAAATCCAACCTTCATCTCCCTGCTCCCTGTGCCATTTACCCACTGGGACATTATTAGCCTTCCGTCTCTCCACTAGTGACCCACCCTGGGGACCCAGGATGGAACAGGAGATGTTGGGCTTCCACTAACAGTCTGGTAAGGCTCAGGGGGAAATGCCACTGTGGAATACTCCCAAGCAGGTTAAAAGCATCCCACCAAGTGTGTGGGGAAATCCTGGCCTGTTCCACCCACGGGGTAGGGAGTTTGCTTCTATACTCCCTGAACAAACCATAAAAAGTTGACATGTCCACTAAAATTCACTCCACAAATATTTATTCAGCATTTACTATATGCCAGGTACCATGTTAGGTACTGGTGATACAATGATAAATTTGCAGGCGTGGGGGGTGCAGCAGACATTCATCAAATGAGTGCACACATATGCAATTGAACTGTGATGTTTGCCATGAGAGAAAAGCACAAGAAATTTTAGAGTAGACAGCAGAGGGATCTGTTATCTGCAGGTCAGGGAAAGCTTCCCTGAAGAAGTGACTAGGGGCCATCTGAAGAGTGAATGGAATTAAATAGGTGGAGAAAGATAGATAAGGAACAGGGTTCTTAACAGAAGGAAGCAAAGTCCTGGAGGCAAGAAAGAGCTTGTCTTATTGGGAGAATTGAAAGATCTGTGTGCTAGTATGCAGAGTTAGAAAGAGAGGGGACTAGTTAAAGTGGCTGCTGGGGTGGAGGGTGAGGGGTGGGGATGAGGCAGTTGCTGGGCCATGCAGGGCCCATGGATTGTGGTAGGGAGTTTAGTCTGAATCCTAAGAGCAACCAGAAAATAAATAGTTTTAAGTGGCCTGCTGTGTGGAAAATGGATTGAAGAGAGCAAGAGAATATTCAGGGAGGAGGCTAGGTGAAAAGGTGCTTCGGATCAGGAGGGAAGGAAGTGGAAATGGAGAGAAGTGGATGGTATGAGAGATATTTTGGGCTTGGAATTGAGAAGACTCGATAATGAATTGGAGGTGGAGCAGAAGGAAAAAAGGCTGCCAAAGAAAATTCCCAGGATTCTGGCTTGTACACTGCTCTCTATTACATTTAAAAATATATATTTTATTGTGTTTTTGGTGTAAATTTACACAGGAAATTAGGTGCTCATTTAACAATTTCTATACATATTGTTTAGTGTCATTGGTCACATTTTCCACAATATATCAGCGTTCTCATTATTTCCATTTTGGTTGTTCTGTTTCCATTAATCTAGCTTCCCTGTCCCCCCTCACCTTCTCGTCTCTGGTCTAAGGTAAATGTTTTCCATTTGGTTTCATTTAGATGATTATTTTGAGGCACATAGTACTCATGGGTGATATTATTTATTTTATGGGCCCATCTGTCATTTGGCTGAAAGGTGACCTCTGGGAGTGGTTTGAGTTCGAAGTTTAAAGAGTATCTCAGGTTCGTCTAGTCTCTACCAGTCTAGTAAGTCTGGCTTCTTTTGTAGGAATTTGAGTTTTGTTCTACATTTTTCTCCCATTCTATCCAGGACCATCTATTGAGTCTCTGGTCAGAATGGATGGTAGTGGCAGCCGGGCACCATCTAGTTCTTCCCGTCTCAAGGTAGGTGGTATCATTGTTTGTGTAGACCATTGGTTCTGTAAACTAGTTTCTTCTTTGAGTCTTTGGTTTCCTTCTTTCTCTTTTGCTCTGGAAGAGTAGAGACTAATGGTTGTATCTTAGATGGCAACTCACAAGCTTTTAAGACCCCAGATGCTACTTAACAAACTAGGATGTAAAACATTATCTTTATGGACTATATTGTGCCAATTGACTGAGTTTCCCCACATAGTCTCTATTACATTTATCACAATGAATTGCCTGTTACTGTTATCTTCTGTCTCAAACTCTGACCTTGTCAAGGTTACATCTACCACTACCACCAGTTGCTGAGGAGTCACTTCTGACTCACGGAGACCCCGTATACGTCAGAGTAGACCTGTGCTCCACACAGGTTTCCTTGGCTGATTTTTTAGAAGTAGATCACTAAGACTTTCTTCCGAGGTGCCTCTGGATAGACTTGAACTTCCAACCTTTTGGTTAGCAGCCGAGTGGGTTAACCAATTGCACCACCCAGGGACTCCCTCATATGGGTTATACATGTGTTGTTGTTAGGTGCAGTCGAGTCGGTACCAACTTATAGCAACCCTATGTACGGCAGAATGAAACTTGCCCAGTCCTGTGCCATCCTCACAGTAGTAGGTATGTTTGAGCCCATTGTTGCAGCCATCAATGCCCATGGAAGCAGCAGTCACATAATCAGATGACATATTTTTGTTGTTAGGCACTGTTGATTCAGTTCTGACTCATAGCCACCCTATGTACAACAGAACAAAATTGCCTGGTCCTGCGCCATCCTCATGATCATTGTTATGCTTGAGCCCATTGTTCCAGCCACTGTGTCAATCCATCTCCTTGAGGGTCTTTCTCTTTTTCTCTGACCCTCTACTCTACCATGGATGTCCTTCTTCAGGGACTGATCTCTCCTGATAACATGTCCAAAGTATGTGAGACATAGTCTCGCCATCCTTGCTTCTGAGGAGCATTCTGGCTGTATTTCTTCCAAGACAGATTTGTTCATTCTTCTGGCAGTCCACGATCTATTCAATAACCTTCACCAACACCATAATTCAAAGGCATAAATTATTCTTTGGTCTTCCTTATTCATTGTCCAGCTTCCGCATGCATATGAGGCAATTGAAAACACCATGGCTTGGGTCAGGTGCACCTTAGTCCTTAAACTGACATCTTTGCTTTTTAACACTTTAAAGAGGTCTTTTGCGGCAGATTTGCCCAATGCAGTGAGTCATCTGATTTCTTCACTGCTGCTTCCATTGGTCTTGATTGTGATCCAAGTAAAATGAAGTCCTTGACAACTTCAATCTTTTCTCCATTTATCGTGATGTGGCTTATTGTTCCAGTTGTGAAGATTTTTGTTTTGTTTATATTGAGGTGTAATCCACACTGAAGGCGGTAGTCTTTGATCTTCATCGGTAAGTGCTTCAAGTCCTCTTCTCTTTCAGCAAGCAAGGTTGTGTCATCTGCATAATGCAGGTTGTTAATGAATCTTCCTCCTATCCTGACACCATGTTCTTCTTCATATAGTCCAGCTTCTCGGATTCTTTGCTCAGCAAACAGATTAAAGAAGTATGGTGAAAGGATACAAACCTGACACACACCTTTCCTGACTTTAAACCACACAATATCTGTTGTTCTGTTCAAATGACTGCCTCTTGGTCTAAGAACAGGTTCCTCATGAGCACAATGGAATTCCCATTCTTTGCAATGTTATCCATATTGCCCCGGGCAAATCTGCTGCAAAAGACCTTATTAAAATCTGAAAAAGCAAAGATGTCACTTTGATGACTAAGGCGAGCCTGACCCACGCCATGGTCTTTTCAGTCACCTCATATGCATGTGTGAAAGCTGGAAAATGAAAAAGGAAGACTGAGGAATAATTGACACATTTGAATTTTGGTGTTGGTGAAGAATACTGAATATACCATGAACTGGCAGAAGAGCTAACAAATCTGTCCTGGAAGAAGTATAGCCAGAATGCTCCTTAGAAGTGAGGATGGCACAACTTTGTCTCGCTTACTTTGGACATGATATCAAGAGTGACCAATCCCTGGAGAAGGACATCATGCTTAGTAGAGGGTCAGCAAAATACATGTAAACCCAAAACCCATCGCTGGAGTCGATTCCAGCTCAAACTACCTACCTTTTGGTTAGCAGCCGTAGCTCTTAACCACTGTGCCACCAGGGGGTGCATAATAAATATTTGAATAAATGACTTCTGTCTTCCAGGGCCAACAATTCTGCAGTTCTCAAATCTCTCTGGAGGTGGCAGTACATGAAAACTAACCAGTCACTTTTCCTGTGACCTGAAGCTCATTTCCTGCAGCCGGCGACTTCGATTCCCATTGGGAGTTTTTCCCGCAGTCCAAATTCCCAGAAAAGAGCTCTTTCCCCAGTTTTTCTGAACTGCCTCAGTGGAGGGTGTGACTAAACCAGGAAACTTTTCGTGTGAGGGCCAAGGTCTGAATTTACTCAGTAATTTTGTGGCTAAGGCTTTATTTTTGTCAGTGGTGGTTTTGCCCAGGCTTCTGTTGTCCCATTCCTTGCCTTTCACAGAACATTCAGGCCTAGAAGCTCAGCGTCTCTGATTGGTCCAAGCAGGACATTTCTTCTC